GTCCTAATATCTCGTATGCTGTTGGTATTGTGAGCCAATTCATGACTACTTTTCAGATTCCTTATCTAGACGCTGTCATTCGCATCATGAAATATCTCAAAAATGCTTTAGGGTATGGACTTGTTTATCAATCTTCTAGGCATCTTCGTATTGAGAGATATACTGATGCTGATTGGGCAGGGTCACCATCCGACAGAAAATCTACTACTGGTTTTTGTACCTTCATTGGAGGTAACCTTGTGACTTGGAGAAGTAAGAAACAGTCTGTAGTTTCTCAGTCGAGTGTTGAAGTAGAATATCAGGCAATGGCCCATATTACTTGTGAAGTCACATGGTTGAGGACTTTTTTACGAGAGTTTAGTTTTCCTACAGAAGCTCCAACTCCTCTTTACTGTGACAATCAAGCTGTCATTCATATTGTTAGCAATCCGATCTCTCACAAGAGAACTAAACACATTGAAGTTCATTGTCACTTTGTGTGAGCCAAAGTAGAGTCCGAAGAAATCTCCACTTCTTTTGTTCTTTCAAGGTGTCAACTTGCAGATATCTTTACCAAAACACTTTCCAAAGGTGCAATTGACTCTATATGAGACAAGCTGGGAATGATTGGCATCTACTCTCTAGCTTGAGGGGGAGTGTTGATATATTAAATATTAAATATTATATAGTTGCGATAGAACATAATAAGTGTGATAGAGCATTATCTGTGGGATATTGCGTCCTTATTTTCTATTTTTGATTTTACATGTAATTGATGTATAAATAGGCTTCCTACTTATGAGATGAATACAGTGAAGAAATCTTTTCTTTCCTTCCCAACTCTCTTGACATATTTGTTTTAGATATTTTTTAAATATAGAAATTATTTTTTTTAGATTTTTTTTATAAAAATAATTTAACAATCACATCACTAACCATCTTCAACACTATATCATCAAAAGAGTTTTGAATTCAGTTTTGAGTTGTGTGTTTGGTTATGAATTTTGAAAAGTGATTTGAAAATTTTGTCTCTGGAATCATGATTCTAAAGGCAAACCAAACACAAAATTTTATTTTTATTTATTTATTTTTCACTGGCAATGGAAGATTGCTGCAATATTCAATTTGTGGACAATAAGAGTAAAAAAAATAGTTGTTGCCTTGAATATCTTAGGTCCTTTTCATATAATATACATATACATATACATATACATATACATATACACTTTCTTAGTATATATGTAGATATTTGTGATTAATAAACAAATAAACGTCTATTAGGATAATGTTAGATGTATTGACTTTGTTATTCTTTGTAAGTTTGCAAGTTCTGTTACCTTGTGAGTTTTTGTGGGACATTTTATTTGTGTTATTTTGGTCAAAATTATAGAATGAGGTTTTGTTGCAAGTCTATGATGATCTCAATTGGAAGGGGGTAATAACGATGGTCATTTGGGTAACCCAAAGGTGGGAGGGAAGGTTGTGTGTTAGGTAGCCGACAACCAACACATAAAAAAGCAGCTCGGTTCCCTTATGACAATGAATCCTACTTTGAATTGTTTAAATGAGAGGTCATCACCCTCAAGTGACGCGCTGCGCCTGCCTCTGGGTGTTTCAAAAAGTGAGTAAGGGGCGCTGCATCGACGCTTGGGTGCGGTGAAAAATGGGCTAAGGTTCTCGCATTTTTTTGGACGAGTGCGGGTAAAGAAACTAGCCCAAGACTATAGGTTTAGGATAGCCACTTGGAATATTGGAACCTTAAATGGTAAGACGATGGAGTTGGTAGATGTTATGATTAGGAGAAGAGTTAGTATAGCTTGCGTACAAGAAACTAAGTGGACGGGTGAGAAGGATAGAGAAATTGAGGATACCGGTTTTAAATTGCATTATAGTGGTAAGGATAGATGTAGGAATGGAGTAGGAATCTTAATCGCCAAGGGTCTTGTGGAGAATGTAGTGGCGGTCATTAGAAAATGCGATAGGATTATGTTAGTTAAACTAGTTATTGGAGGGAATATAGTAAACGTTATTAATGCATACGCCCCTCAAGTAGGATTAGATGATCAAACTAAGAGGGGTTTTTTGGAGCAAATGGATGAGATCTTACAGGAGATACACATAGGAGAGAACCTAGTTATAGGTGGAGATTTTGGTAGCCATGTAGGCATAGATAAACTAGGCTATGAAAGGGTACATGGCGGATACGGTTTTGGTGACAGAAATGAAGCTGGAGAGAGTATCTTAGATTTTGCATTGGCTTTTGACCTAGTAGTAGCCAATACTATGTATAAGAAGAAGAATGAGCATTTGATAACCTTTAAGAGTAGGTCAGTTAAGAGTCAAATAGATTACTTCTTAGTGAGAAAAGTGGACTACCTAAAATGCAATGATTGTAAGGTGATTCCTGGAGAGAGCCTGACCCCTCAACATAGGATTTTGGTACTAGACTTATGTTTTAAAGGGCAATACCAAGCTAGGAAGGATGATGGGACCTAAAAAGGGATAAATTAGAAATATTTAAGAATAAAATGGATAAGGAAGGCACTTGGCCCTTGGAAGATGATGCTAATACTATGTGGAACTCGATGGCCAATTGTATGAGGATAATCTCAAGGGAAGTGCTTGGAGAGTCGAAAGGAACGGGACCTAGCTCTAGAGAAACTTGGTGGTGGAGAGAAGAGGTTCAAGCGGTAATTAAGGTAAAAAAAAAGTGCTTTAAAAAGTGGCAAAATGATAGAACTGAGAAAAACCTTAAGAGCTATAGATTGACTAATAAGGAGGTCAAGAAAGTAGTGAGAGAGGCTAAGTTGAAAGCTTATGATGATCTATACACTAGACTAGATAGTAAGGAGGGAGAGAAGAGGATATACAAACTTGCTAAGATACGGGAGAGGAAAACAAGAGATTTTAATCAAGTTAAGTGCATCAAGAGTGAGGATTCTAAGGTTTTGGTGAGGGATGAAGAGATTAAGGAAAGATGAAAGAACTATTTTGAGAAACTATTAAATGAGGAGCATGGAGGTACGACAATAAGGGAAGAAATAGCCAGTAAAATGATAAACCAAGACTATAGGTTCTATCACAGGATTAAGAACTTTGAAGTGGAGATTGCACTTAAGAAGATGAAATCAAATAAGGCTTTAGGACCAAATGACATCCCTATTGAAGCTTGGAAGTGTTTGGGTTAAAAGGGGATTGCTTGGTTGACTAGGTTGTTTAGCAAAATTTTGTTGATTAGGAACATACCAGATGAGTGGATGAAGAGTATTTTAGTGCCAATCTATAAGAATAAAGGAGATGTCCAGAATTGCAACAACTATAGAGGAATCAAGCTAATGTGTCATATAATGAACGTATGGGAAAGGGTGATAGAACGCAAATTGCGAGATATAACGGAAGTGTCAGAGAATCAATTTGGGTTTATGCTTGGCAGGTCAACAATGGAAGCGATCTATCTTTTAAGGAGAGTAATGGAAAAGTATAGAGAAAAGAAAAGAGACATTCATATGGTGTTTATCGACCTTGAGAAAGCATATGATAGAGTGACTCGGAATATAACATGGTGGGTGTTAGCAAAGAAAAGAGTGACAAAATGTTATATTGATGTGATTAAGGACATGTATGAAGGGGTGGTGACCACTATTAGATCGTCTGCTGGAAAGACAAATGAATTTTCTATCACTGTAGGGTTACACCAGGGATCTATCTTTAGTCCTTATCTTTTTGCTTTAGTTATGGATGAGTTGACGAAAAATATCTGGGATGAAGCGCCATGGTGTATACTTTTTGCAGACGATATAGTGCTAGTGGATGAGACTAGAAAATGAGTTAATACAAAGTTGGAGATTTTGAGAAAAGCTCTTGAATCTAAAGGATTTCAAATAAGTAGAACTAAGACAGAGTACATGGAATGTAAATTTAGTGACAGTAATAATGAAAGCGGATGAGAAGTGAAGAGTGAGAATCAAGAACTGCCTAAGAGTGAACATTTTCGTTATTTAAGGTCGATTATCACAATAGCGGGGGAGATTGATGCGGATGTGGCCTATAGGATTAAGGTGGGATGGTGTAAGTAGACAAGTGCGTCTAGGGTATTGTGCGATAAACGAATACCCACTAGACTTAAAGGTAAGTTCTATAGAACTGCTATTAGACCAGCGATTTTGTATGGGACGGAGTGTTGGGCAACTAAGAAACAACATGTAGATAAGATGAGTGTAGCTGAGATGAAAATGCTAAGGTGGATGTGTGGCAAGACTAGACAAGATAGAATTAGGAATGAGTGTATTTGGGAATGGGTAGGAGTAGCACCGATAGAAGATAAGCTGAGAAAGAATCGATTGAGATGGTTTGGTCATATTCAACGGAGACCAACAGATGCAGTAGTGAAGAGATGCGATGTTGTAACGGTAGATAGAAGTGTTAAGGGACGGGGTAGGCCTAGATTAATGTTGGTTAGCGTTGTAAATAGAGACATGGATCTACTTAATTTGACTAACGAAATGGCTTTTGATCGGGCCGCGTCGAGAAGAATGATTCATGTAACCGGCCCCATTTGATGGGACTTAAGGCTTGGTTTGGTTTGGTTTGGCTTTAAAATTTGTAATTATATTATTTCTTCTTGTTTGACTTTAAAAATAAATAATAAATAGATGGCAAAGTAAACCTTTCATTTTTTTTATTAAATATATATATTTATTTATTTTTAATACATAAGAAATCACCATACAAATAGATCATCAAAATAGGACTCGCGGTGTATCCTATAATTCCAACAACAATGTGTAGTCACAGAAAATTAAATTAGATGTTTAGTTGACAAAGAGAAACTCAACCCTAACCGATATATGCACATGCAGCCACACAAATTCTTGCAAAACAGGCCAATTATTAGACAAAATCTGGTTGCTGTCAAGGCAACATATAACATTTTAATGCTTCCGACACTTTATATATAATCGTTTTTAATAGTAAATAAAACGAGTATGATAATAATAGGCTCACCCTTGTATTCAATATACCTTTGACCATGAGTTTGGATTCAAGACTAAAGTTGGCAAACTCCCATCATTCTGCTTGACCTCAAAATTTAGTGGACCTGCAAATTAGTTAAGCCAATATACATCCTCAATAATCACCAATTCAAATCAATTAAAACCTTCTGTTTAACATTTCTGGAAAGACCACTTAGGAGTGTTTTGAAAAGTTGGTAAAAAATTAATTTTTTGACTTTTTAACTTTTTTTAATAACTTTTTTATGATTTTTTTGGAAGAAGTTGGTAAAAAGCCAAAAAATTGACTTTTTACTAACTTCTCAAATTACCCCTTATTTGTTCGTTTATCGAGTTTGGCACGATATCATGAATAAGCTCTACCAAAGATGCAGATGCGACCATGAATCGAACTGGATTGAAATATTCAGATGTCAACGGAAAAACTTTGTCGGAATGTCGTCCAGAAACGAAGGATGGCCAGGCTCCGGTTCCCAATTCAAATATTTTATATTTAATATAAAAAAAAAATAGAAATCAGATTATAATGGCATAGTTTTATTGTGTGAGGGTATTTTGAAAATTTGGCACACTCAGTCAATCCCACACATCGAAATTGAAATATTTGCTCCATTATTCACTTGGGTAAGGATTGCATGTATGTTTTAAATGTTTTTTAAAAATGTTTTTCAAAAAAAGAGTTCGAATCAAATACAAAATCCTATTTTGAAAACTTGTGCAACATTGGCCCTACTAAAGTGCAGCGATCGATCACAATTTGGAGCAATCTATCACACGTTTAGCAGTGGCTAACAATCAATAAACGATTGCTTAGCCATCGATCACACTTTGTGCAATAGCAAGCGATCACTAAAAGATGGATCAATAAGCGATCGCTTCAAATTAATTTTGGAATAGTAGCTAGCAACCGCTAGGAAATCAATCCCTTAGTGACAGCTCTGATTTTTACAAATCATATTCCTTATTCATTTTGGATATTGTTTTCTCTATAAAAAGACCGAATCAGAATCCTCTCCTTACGCTCTCTCCTTGACTTCTTACTTGTTGGGTCATTAGGCCCACTTTTGGGTCTAATTTCAATTATTCGAACCGTTCACATTTTAAGATTTGTTGAGTATATCATATCTGTAAAAAATCAAGTTGATCGGATATCAATAACTATGTGTTCGGATCATCAAACTAAAAATTAATTTTTTTTTAAATTTAATAAACAGCTTTCTGAACACATTCTACCTGATATCCGATCAATTTGATTTTTTACAAATATGATATACTTAACAAATCTTAAAATGTGAACGGTTCGAATCATTGAAATTGGGCTTAAAAGTGAACCCAATGACCCAACAAGAAGGGAGGTAAGGAGAAAAATCAAAGAGTGGATCCTTATTCAAAAAGACCTTCATAACTTGTTTTTCAGCATCCCAACTATTGTTCTTTACTATAAAAATATCTAATACTCTATCGAGAGTTATTTTTTAAAAAATAATTGCATTCATAATTTCATAGAGAATTCCCCTTTCATAATTTCATATAGAAGATAA